AATTTCTGGAGGATGCGCCAACCATTCGACGTCAATCAGGCGTGGTTAGAGGGGATTGAATCCATATTTGGCTTATACGATAACTCCCAGTGGCATACCGATGTATCGAGCCAATGGTGCTACCCTTTCAGGCAGGTTATCCATTTTTTTTATTTTAACAACTTTTTGACTTTGTTTTTATTCTTGCGTTTTCCTTTCTTTCGTTTCCATCCAAAAATTTTCGGTTTTCAAGTACCCCTCCGTCTAGTACGTCTCCCCTATGTTTCAGTTTCTTTTTTCATTGGATTAATTTATTCTTGTGATAAGAATGTGTTATCCTAGCTTTCTACGCCTCTTCATCGACGTCCCACGGTTTATCATTAACTTCATTTCGAGCGGAAACATCCTAAAAAGTCTCCGAATTGAAACTGAATCGGGTACGATTTGTTTAAAAATTACTCTTAAATGCATTGGATTGTGTTGGACGGCAGTTTGGACGGAATCTAAGGCTCTTGAAATATTTTTAACATATGGTGGATGAAATAGAAAACTTTTAATTCGTGCGCTAATGCTAAAAGGATACAGCTCTCGGCGTTGGTCATTATCTGGGGGATCTGTCTTCACTAAGGATCGTTTGAGGTGATTTAATGCATACCTAGCCTCTACAATAACTAGCGGTGGCGTAAACTCGCCGAATAAGTGTTTTCGCACGTACCTCGTGTTATCTCAATAATTTACAAATTAGGTTGAGATATTTGCAAAACATGGGAACTAGGACGGATCGAACCGTGGTTATGTTTTTGGGAGCTCACATGTTACGCAAAGCACCATTCAAGCCCTTGCTTTGTCTTTCTCTCAGCCAGTTTATTACATAACGCCACCATCAGCAATCACTCGTCTAATATGGTTGCAAGATTTAAGATGAAGTCAAGGAAATATTGAGTCAGAATTTGTTTCCCGAACGATTTCCTGTTGATCTGGTCTTAACAGCGGGGAAACACTTCACGGCTGGATTTGTTCATACCTCTATCGATTGTTAAAGTCAGTGGATAACAAGGGGAGAATGCTACTTGCACTATAGATCGCTTTTCCATTGGCTATGTCTAGCTATGTTTTTGATAAAATAACATGACTATAAGATGTGCTTCCTTTCTTCTTTCGCTGTTTAAAAACGGTATTCAGTAGTTATTCGAATTGAGATGCCGCCAGTGCGGAAGTATAAAGGCGACGGCACTGTTCACTTTTGAAACTGGTTTGTCACATACGCGAACAGTTCACTGCCACTTCCAGTACGGATATCGATGGAGCCGCATTCTTTAACCAAAGGAGCCTTATACAAATACTTAGTAATTATGCAGGTAGTTCGATGTATTAGATTTCGCAGAAGCGTTATAATTATGGAGACTGCAGAGTGTTGACGCATGTTTTATTCCATTACGAGTTCATAAACGAAGAAATTACTACAGTTATCCCAACGTCCTAGGGGCACGTGTAGAGCAGCAGTTGGAGGCGCTCTGCAATATTCGTGGGATCGTTTCACAAGCCACAGAGTCACCAAGCCTTCCATCTATCCTGAGCTGACAAATTGGTACTAGGCTTGTCCGGGAAGATAGCACCACTGGCACGATACAGCAATAATACACCGTGACTCATTCTAATAGCTAACTTTGCATTCAATCACCTCTAAACGATACTTAATGAAGTCGAATGCATGGCACGTCCCTCAGGGATTGATCAACTCCGAGAGTCTCATTCTTTTTATACTTCTATCTCTACTTATTATTAATTTTCCGTCTTCATTAGATGTGTAAGTGAAATGTTAACATCTCATACAACAGCATTTTAAGAACGACCTATTTGAAAAAAATCATCGTCGCTATCAGAGGGTGTAGTAGCATCGGATGACTTCGTATTTGTGGATAAATACTGCGCCAGCATCCTAGCACTTTTCGGTTCCGCCGTTGATTTTTTGACCATAGTTTTGAATAAAAGCCGCGTTCTCAGTTGATGGATTAAATTTTATAAGACCATGAAGAGAGTTTAATAACTACACGACACCTATTGATTAAGATCACTTGTATTTGCATGAGTACTAGGAATGTTAACCAATTTCACAACTCTGGTTAAGAACATTTGCTCTATGGGACCCCTAGGTCGTGTAGAATGCAGCGATTAGAGGTGATCTGCAATAAAAGGCTTTAGTTCGATCCCGCGTGCAAACGAAGCCGGATAACTCAAAGGAAAGGAAGATCGACACCACATTAGTCTAGGCGAAGAAGGCACTGATTTGAAGAATCGGTACGCCAGCGCAAGTCATTGTCCAAGGAAAACATCAACAAAAGCAAGCGTCGAGTGTGCGCAAAGCCGCCAGGTTAGCGTTTTATGAGCGAAACTCAGGAAAAACATTTGTGCGCGAAAAACCGTTAGGTGAGCGTTGCCAGATGGAAACTCGCTAAAAACCACTTGAGTGCTCTGAATGCCTAGGTGAGCGATTTCTGTGCGAAACTCATGTACATCGCCTTTTGTGCGCTAATTCGCCAAGTGAGCGTTTTCTCTGCGAAACTCACTACCATCTTCCTGTGTGCGCTAAATGGCCAGGTGAGCTTTTCTGAGCGAAATTCACGAAAAGCGACTTGTGTGCGCTAAACCGCCAGGCTAGCGCTTTCTGAGCGAAATCTGCGAAAACATTTTCTGCGCACTGAACCAATCGGTGAGCGTTTTCTGCGCGAAACTAAGAAAAAACCTCTTGTAAGCACTAAATCGCAAGGTTAGCGTTGCCAGATCGAAACTCGCCAAAAACGTCTTGTGTGCACTGAACCGCCTGGTGAGCTGTTTCTAAGCGAAACTCGCTAACATCGCCTTTTGTGCGCTAATTCGCCAAGTGAGCGTTTTCTGCGCGAAGGTCGGGAAAAAGGTCTTGTGTGCTCGAAACCGCGAGGTGGGCGTTTTCTGAGCGAAACACACTAACATCGCCTAGTGCGCGCTAAATCGCCAGGTGAGAGTTCTCTGATAGAAACTCATGAACATCGCCTTTTCTGCACTTAATCGCCAGGTGAGGGTTTACGAGCGAAAATCATGAACATCGCCTCTTATGCTCTAAACCGCTAGGGGAACATTTTCTGAGCGAAACTCACATCTTCCTGTTTGCGCTAAATGGCCAAGAGAGCCTTTTCCGAGCGAAACTCAAGAAGAGCGACTCCTGTGCGCTAAACTGCAGTCTAGCGCTTTATGAGCGAAATCAGCGAAAACATTTTGTATGCACTGAAACGTTGATCGATTTCTGAGCAAAACACACTAACATCTTCTTGTGCGCGCTAAACCGCCATGTGAGAGTTTTCTCAGCGAAACTCGCGAACATCGTCTTTTGTGCGCTAAACCGATAGGGGAGAGTGTTCTGAGCGAAACGCAGGGAAAACGTCGTGGGTGGGGTAAACGGCCGAATGAGCCATTTCTGAGTGGAACTCATGAACTCCGCCTTTTGTGCGCAAAACCGCCAGGTGAGCGATTTCCGAGCAAAACTCAGGAACATCGCCTTTCGTGTGCTAAACCGCCAGGTGAGGGTTTTCTCCGCGCAACTCATGAACACCGCCTTTTGGGCGCAAAACCGCCAGGTGAACGATTTCTGAGCGGAAATGAGGAAAAACATCTTCTTTGCGCGAAACCGCGACGTGAGCGATTTCTGAGCGAATCTCATGAGCACCGTGTTTTTTGCGCTAAACCGCCAGGTGAGCGATTTCTGAGCGGAACTGAGGAAAAACATCTTCTTTGCGCGAAACCGCCAGGTGAGCGATTTCTGAGCGGAACTCGTGGGCACCGCATTTTGTGCGGTAAACAGCAAGGTGAGCGATTTCTGGACGAAACTCATTAACATAGCCTTTTGTGCGCTAAACCGCCAGGTGAGGGTTTTCTGCGCGAAACTCATTAAAATCGCCTTTCATGCGAAAACCGCCAGGTGAGTGATTTCCGAGCGAAACTCATTACCATCGCCTTTTGTGCGCTAAACCGCCGCATGAGTGATTTCAGAGCGAAGCCCAGGAAAAATTCCTTGTTTGCGCAAATTCGCGATGTGAAGGATTTCTGAGCGAATCTCATGAGCACCGTGTTTTTTGCGCTAAACCGCCAGGTGAGCGATTTCTGAGCGAAACTCGTGGGCACCGCATTTTGTGCGGTAAACAGCAAGGTGAGCGATTTCTGGACGAAACTCATTAACATCGCCTTTTGTGCGCTAAACCGCCAGGTGAGGGTTTTCTGCGCGAAACTCATTAAAATCGCCTTTCATGCGAAAACCGCCAGGTGAGTGATTTCCGAGCGAAACTCATTACCATCGCCTTTTGTGCGCTAATTCGCCAAGTGAGCGTTTTCTCTGCGAAACTCACTACCATGTTCCTGTGTGCGCTAAATGGCCAGGTGAGCTTTTTCTGAGCGAAATTCACGAAAAGCGACTTGTGTGCGCTAAACCGCCAGGCTAGCGCTTTCTGAGCGAAATCTGCGAAAACATTTTCTGCGCACTGAACCAATCGGTGAGCGTTTTCTGCGAGAAACTAAGAAAAAACCTCTTGTGAGCACTAAAGCGCAAGGTTAGCCTTGCCAGATCGAAACTCGCGAAAAACGTCTTGTGTGCACTGAACCGCCTGGTGAGCTGTTTGTAAGCAAAACTCGCTAACATCGCCTTTTGTGCGCTAAACTACCAGGTGAGCTATTTCTGTGCGAAACTCTTGAGCTCCGCCTTTTCTGCGCTAAACCGCTAGGTGAGCGATTTCCAAGCGAAGCTCATAAGCACCGCCTTTTTTGCGCTAAACCGCCACATGAGCGATTTCAGAGCGAAGCCCAGGAAAAATTCCTTGTTTGAGCAAAACCGCGATGTGAGCGATTTCTGAGCGAATCTCATGAGCACCGCGTTTTTTGCGCTAAACCGCCAGGTGAACGATTTTCGACTAAAACTCGTGAACATCGCCTCTTGTGTGCTAAACCGCTAGGTGACCGTTTTCTAGGCGATACTCATGAGCACCGCCTTTTTTGCGCTAAACCGCTACATGAGCGATTTCAGAGCGAAGCCCAGGAAAAAGTCCTTGTTTGAGCAAAACCGCGATGTGGGCGATTTTTGAGCGAATCTCATGGGCACCGCCTTTTGTGCGCAAAATCCCCACGTGAGCGTTTTGTGAGCGAAACTCATGAACATAGAGCTGAACCGCCAGGTGAGCTATTTCTGAGCAAAACTGATGAGCCAACCTTTCGCGCTCAAGGTCGCCTGGTGAGCGTTTTTGAGCGAAACTCACTAACATAGACCTGCGTGCGAAAGCCGCCATGTGAGCAATTTCCGTGTGAAACTCTTTAACATCGCCTTTCATGCGAAAACCGCCAGGTGAGCGATTTCTGGGCGAAACTCATGGGCACCGCATTTTGTGCGCAAAACCGCCAGGTGACCGTTTTCTAGGCGATACTCATCGCCTTTCGTGCGGTAAACGGCAAGGTGAGGTATTTCTGAGCGGAACTGATGAAAAACATCTTCTTTGCGCGAAAGCGCGACGTGAGCGATTTCTGAGCGAAACTCAAAAACATCGTATTTTGTGCGGTAAACC